CTGTCACCTCATTCCATCTTTTCTATTGGAATAATTCTCAGAATGACCCACGGCTATTTTATTGAGTTGTACTGGTAAGATGTCGACGTCTGTGGCGTAGGCGTTGCGAGCGCACTTCGTAATGCCGGGGTGCCAGGTTCGATCCTAGCTGTGGATGGTTTGTCTTGAGTTAGTTTTGACAGTGGTACCGAGAGCTGACCGAAAGCAATGGCAAACTACTGAACGTAAAATGTGCCTAGAAAAAACATAACAGCCAACAAATGCTAGGGTTGGTTCTGCAACCTGTAAAGGATACGCAACTAACTAGTAAGACAAAATGAACACTGTCGCCTCACTCAGTTAAACCCGGTTATCACACTCAACTGAACTCTTTCAACATACACAGTTTAACACTCACCAGACTAAGTTAAACTATATCACCAAACTAAGTCGAACCCTTTCACCACTCTCAGTTGAACCCTCTCCCCACACTCGGTTAAACTCTGATAGCACCTTATCAAAATCAGTTGAATCCTGCTATCACACTCAATAAAACCCCCTCACCACTCTCAACAAAACCCTCTCACCACTCTCATCAAAACCCTCTCACCACTCTCAACAAAGCCCTCTCACCACTCTCAACAAAACCCTCTCACCACTCTCAACAAAGCCCTCTCACCACTCTCAACAAAACCCTCTCACCACTCTCAACAAAACCCTCTCACCACTCTCAACAAAACCCTCTCACCACTCTCATCAAAACCCTCTCACCACTCTCAACAAAACCCTCTCACCCACACTCTCAACAAAACCCCCTCACCACACTCAGTTAAACTCTGAAAGCACCTTATCGAAATCAGTTGAATCATACTATCAAACTCAACTAAACCCCCTCACCACTCTTAATTGAACCTAAACTCCTGGTCTGATACAGTCACGCACTGACCACTATATCAGGAGCTCAGTTTAGGGAAGACACTAAAACGTCCGTTATGGTTTGACAGGAAGCAACGTACACGAGGAATTTGTCAACTTTAATATTATAAGAACAAGAGCGGGCACTTGTTGTGACTCCAACTGATATGGGGAATTAATGTACAGACCAGCACACAATCGGATAAGAAATGTCATGTGAAGTAAAGGCAACTGGTGTGGCTTTGAGCATATTTCCCACCCAGTGTCGACAGGGGCAATCAAAATACGTGCAAGCACCATATATCAGATAAGCTGAGGGGGCCAGGAAATATATCGTGACCTACTTTATACTTTCTAATATCCCCCTTTCCTTGTCCTGCTCTCTGCTTACCTCTATAACCTATCCATCTCTCTCTCTCTCTCTCTCTCTCTCAAAGATCCATTTTCAAGGCACAGGAATTAAACACACAACGCACATGGGAAGAATGAGCAGTAGCAACAACCAGGTTTATCCACAGTAAACAAAAGTGTGGGTCGGACATGACTAACAAACAACACAACCAGAAGCAATAGCCGCACTGCCACACCGGCACACCCAACACACACTTGCTATTTATAATCGCTCCACATCGATAGCTCAGGGACACTTAACTATCGACCAGGACAATCGTCACACTCGAGGAGGAAACGGCAGGCGGATAGCGCTCACACTGATCTCGCTGCAGCAAGCTCGGCGATCTTACCACCTCCTCCACTCCGGCCTTCGTCGGGCCATCTCTGTGAACACTCTGTTCCATGTTAGAGTATATCAAATATTTATCAAACAAGTACGCTGTCACCGTAAAGTTGTTTTATGATTATTTCACAAGATCACAGCGTACAGTGACAACCTTCTGCGGCGTGAGGTCATACTTCAACCAGAGAAGCACGTGTGTGTCTTATATTGATTACTCGCTCATTAAAAACGGAAGTGAAACCCGGTGAGTATCAGACCTATTAGCCTTATTACTTTTAGAAGGGCGTTTGCTGCTGCTTCTTCTGCTAAAGGTCTATGGTGTGTGGTGTTCTTTTGTCTGGTGTACTGCCATTAACTTCTGCTACAGATGTTCTATACCGACCTGTGCATCATTAACTACCTTGATCTCTCTCGACCTCCCTTTCTATCCACCATTCTCCCGGCGTTATGATGCAGTCGTTCTCCCCCTCTCCAGAGATGCGTAAGAGTACGGGAAGTTCTGCTCCCGAAGCGGATTTTTCATGTGAGTTAATAGCTATCCCGACGTCTTCATTGCCTTTTCCACACGTCTACGGCCATTTGCAGACTTCCCCCATGTCCTTCAACCTGTAGGAAATATGGCGGTGCCGGAAGTTTGATGAACTACAGTGGAGGCTTGATGGTTTAAGCCTCTTAAGTGAGCAATAAAACTAGTAATAGTTATTATGTACTGACTCGAAGACGGATGTATTATATATGAAATAATGTGGAGCAAATAAACAAATAGTATATATATTTATACTGTATATATGTTGTAGCTGAGGGAAAGGGGTGGCGCTTAACTACTGCAAATTTTATGGAGGGGGGGGGGCGTCGCCCAGGCTCCGAGGTCATGACGGCCCTGTTGGCTTTACGCGTTAGAGGATAAACTTGGCTGCAACGGCTCTCTCTCCATCTACCAATATATAAATTAATTCTTGCGCAGATCCATCCATGCACACAGACACAGTAAATAAAGAACTATTTCCACACCTTCGCCACATCACGCACATGATGCTAGTCAGACCCCACATTTTGTTTAGACCAAATGGCTATCAGTAGGTGATGGGATTAACATTGCGCCTGTCGCCTTTTCCTCCCGGGATATAACCTGATACCCATTTCTGACTGAGTCGACCCAGGAGCTAGGGTCAAATCTGATGAAAAATCAACCACTCAATGGGATTGGAACCTACGACCTTCAGGTCCGCAGGTGAAAACACACACATATTATATATATATACATACATATATATATATATATATATATATATATATATATATATATATATATATATATATATATATGTATATAATATAGAGATCAACCTATGTATCCATGTACACACCAATGCAACTGTCTAACCGTGTCCTCTTCACTCCCGTGCCTGCCTGCCTGCCACACTCTATCCAAGAAATCAATAACTGTCGGCTGGTGACGCTCTCACAGACAGACCCCTCCTAACCGACAACGCCAACACCATACACTCCCCAGGCCCACACGTGACTCCTCAAAAAACTCAGGTTAGATAGAGTGAGTCAACGGACTTGGTTCTGTAGACCAGGTTGCCAGTCACAGGCTGGGCACCGAGTTGTTAGAGCCGAGAACACAGCACCGTCTGTGCGGCGATCCAGCCATGACAGTGCTGTTGTCGTCATCATTATCGTCATGCTCCTAACAACAACCACTACTATCTTCAGTCCCGTACTGTATGATGCTAGTCTTCGAAATCCTGGCCTAATAGCTTCGCATTGTCAGTTTTATTACGTGGACTTCTATTTTTTTCCCTGGTATCTGGGTAGTAAGATCGGACGCCCGTGTGTAGTCTCGCGCAAGTTTAAAAAAAAAAACCCATTGGCAGTTGGAAATCGAAAAAGAGCAGACTAACGGCGCTGCACAGGCAAAATCTGGAGTAAAAAATATACCCAAAGTATTTCAGGATCCTCGCCGGTGCTACGGAGTTCCTTGCACTGCGCAGAAAACTTGGGACTTGGGAGTCAGAAGTAGAACGCAGCACGTATGGGTTACTACCCTTGTGCCGTGATGCTGATTTGTCGTCTAAACCTAAACCAGATCAAAAGTTCAAATTGTATTTTGATTTCGCTTCTTATTCCGCAACCATTCGGGTGCCGCCTCTCTGTATCATAGTGGTTAGAACTCTCGCCCCCTTTATATGCCCCACTCACCCGACATATATGTTTCTTCTTGATGTTCACCAGCTCTAACTCCAGTGGCAAGTTCTAGTCGTCCGCCCACCCCCCAGACTCTAGTCTTGTTCCAGAACCTAAGTGTTGCATGTACATCCCTTTTACAAATCTGACTTATCTGTATGCAGACTGATAGTTTCTTGCCTTTCACGCAGATGCACTCTGACTTTAAAGGAAGTTCCCAATTAATCAACTCCTACGGCATGCTTTTGGGAAGGCAGTGGATATATTCTTTTCCCTATAATAGGGCCCCGGGACCCACACGGGGTGTACAGGCAGTAAATACAACTGTACATATATATATATATACACTATTTAAAATAGAAGACAAGCACGGTTATCCGATAGCACGTTTTTAATAGCTAATGGGACATCCCTACGCCTAAAAACTATAAACCCAGATATTTTAAAAAAAAAATGGTTAAACCCGAAGTTATTCTTCTGTACAATCTGAACAATTTCATTTATTAAATTTCAAAGATTTATAACGTCAAAAGTATGTTCGTTTCTGTATCTATGCGTCTATCTCTCCCCCCTCCCCCTTTTTCAGTAGTAAAAGGCTTTCGGATAACTGTTTTTTTTTTTTTTTTAACGGTATGGTATTATAAACACAGCCGTCTAAACCACACCAGTAATTCCGTGGCTATCACAGAATCCCCACTATATTTTCACCAGACAACATGAAAACAAATCTATCCTGGAGGGCACAATAGTTAAAATGCGTACATAACGCTACAACAAGGGCGCCCGGACACAAGTGTTCTGGTATCTTCAGCTTCATTCCACCCTTTCAGAAAATCTGCAAGGGAGCTAAATGCCCCTATTCCATGTACCAACGTTCTCTTTTCGTTATGTGTTTATATAGTTCACATTAAAAAAAAAATATATGATTACATTTACTTGCCATTCAGAACATTATTATTTTTTAGGCACTTAAACAAGAACAAATCCCCTTGAGACCTGCTCCCAGAAAATTATAACCCTAACCTAGCAAATGTTAAATTCTAACAAGCCATATCTCCAGCTCTTGTTAATCAGGAGATTATATGTTTTACTTTGATTAGTTGTTGATTTACTGCAAGTGTTTGGGTAGCCATCTATTGCCTTTACGCCAACAATTATTCTCGCCTCACAGGTCTACACAATGGATTTAATCCGATCTCAGCAAAGAACTGGGTTTGGAAACTTTGTCAAAGGTGGGTTTAGGTTTTGTTGTAGGACATAAACAGATCGCTGAAAGATAGTTTCACATGGACAAATATCTGTTATTTACCCTCTCTCTCTAAAAAAAAAAATATTGATGTGTGAAAGATGAGTGCTTGGAAAGGCGGAGTGAAAGATGAGTGCTTGGAAGGGCGGAATGTAAGATTAGTGCTTGGAAGGGCGGAATGTAAGATTAGTGCTTGGAAGGGCGGAATGTAAGATTAGTGCTTGGAAGGGTGGAATGAAAGATGAGTGCTTGGAAGGGTGGGGTGAAAGATGAGTGCTTGGAAGGGTGGAATGTAAGATTAGTGCTTGGAAGGGCGGAATGTAAGATGAGTGCTTGGAGGGCGGAGTGAAATATGAGTGCTTGGAAGGGTGGAGTGAAAGATGAGTGCTTGGAAGGGTGGGGTGAACGATGAGTGCTTGGAAGGGTGGGGTGAACGATGAGTGCTTGGAAGGGTGGAATGTAAGACGAGTGCTTGGAAGGGTGGAATGAAAGATGAGTGCTTGGAAGGGTGGGGTGAAAGATGAGTGCTTGGAAGGGTGGAATGTAAGATTAGTGCTTGGAAGGGCGGAGTGAAAGATGAGTGCTTGGAAGGGCGGAATGTAAGATTAGTGTTTGGAAGGGCGGAATGTAAGATGAGTGCTTGGAGGGCGGGAGTGAAATATGAGTGCTTGGAAGGGTGGAGTGAAAGATGAGTGCTTGGAAGGGTGGGGTGAACGATGAGTGCTTGGAAGGGTGGGGGTGAACGATGAGTGCTTGGAAGGGTGGAATGTAAGACGAGTGCTTGGAAGGGTGGAATGAAAGATGAGTGCTTGGAAGGGTGGGGTGAAAGATGAGTGCTTGGAAGGGTGGAATGTAAGATTAGTGCTTGGAAGGGCGGAGTGAAAGATGAGTGCTTGGAAGGGCGGAATGTAAGATTAGTGTTTGGAAGGGCGGAATGTAAGATGAGTGCTTGGAGGGCGGAGTGAAATATGAGTGCTTGGAAGGGTGGAGTGAAAGATGAGTGCTTGGAAGGGTGGGGTAAACGATGAGTGCTTGGAAGGGTGGGGTGAACGATGAGTGCTTGGAAGGGTGGAATGTAAGACGAGTGCTTGGAAGGGTGGGGTGAAAGATGAGTGCTTGGAAGGGTGGGGTGAAAGATGAGTGCTTGGAAGGGTGGGGTGAAAGATGAGTGCTTGGAAGGGTGGAATGTAAGACGAGTGCTTGGAAGGGTGGAATGAAAGATGAGTGCTTGGAAGGGTGGAGTGTAAGATGAGTGCCTTTGTGCCCAACTGTGACCCTCTGAAAATAGTTTGTTTGTTCCTCCTCCCTTTCTCTCATAGATAACGAAGGGATGGTTTCATGTGGAGTAGGCAATGGATAGATGGTCACATAAGGCGTATTAACCCTTTCCCCTTTTCCCAACAAACACTACATACAACACAAATACACACATCCACACCCAGATAGAATTTCACATATTTACAGCATGCCTGACTCAAGTACATGCAAATCTGACCCTCGCCAGTGCTACTGAGTACACATACTGTGTCGAGATTCTCTGATAGTGATCTGTGGGAGGAAAGCGATTTGGCTGGGAGGAACTCATGGTGATATTCATGTGTAAAAATTGATTTTTAACAGACAAAAGTGGGAAAGGAGGCAAGATGACAAAAGTGGACGGAAGAGGAGACAAAGGTGGTGGGTGGGGTTTGAAATAAAGTAGTGCAGAAAAGAGAAGGAAGACTAGTTCTACCGAAAGTTACACTATGTTTGGTGCACACACTTGTCCTCCAGTGTCAGCTCAATCCAGAAATTAACCCAAATTTTTCCATCCACAGCGGCTTCCATTGTTCCCATCAACGACCTGAAAGGAGCCAAATCTGGCCGTTTTGCTGACAAGGAACAACTAGTGAGATGCAAGCTGGCATCCTGCTACCGCCTGGTCGACCTCTGTGGCTGGTCGCACAGCATCTTTAACCACATCACAGTATGTTACTGCCTACTTGTGTCACCACATCACAGTATGTTACTGCCTACATGTGTATCCACATCACAGTATTTTACTGCCTACTTGTATAACCACATCACAGTATGTTACTGCCTACATGTGTATCAACATCACATTATGTTACTGCCTACATGTGTATCCACATCACAGTATGTTACTGCCTACATGTGTATCCACATAACAGTATGTTACTGTTTACTTTCGTAACTACATCACAGTATGTTACTGCCTACTTGTGCAACCACATCACAGTATGTTACTGCCTACTTGTGTATCCACATCACAGTATGTTACTGTTTACTTTTGTAACTACACAACAGCATGTTGCTGCCTACTTTTGTAACCACATTACAGAATGTTTTACTACCTATTTCATCAGCTTGTTATAGTCTAATTATGTAACTGCACTGGAGTATATTACTGCCTGCTTATAAACTATGTTATAATGCTACCACACTGTAACTACATTACAATATGTTACTGCCTACTTATGTAACCACATCAGTTAGCTACTGCCTACTTGTGTAACAAGATTACAATATATGACTGTTTACTTAAATGAACTACATGATACCATGACCATCTATTTCTGTAACTATACTCTAAAACATGTTATATGCACGGTGCAGTGATACAGTTAGAAAATCCTCAGACATGTAACTTGTCCACAGACAGAGAAGAAAAAAATCACACAACTCTCTCTGGCACACATGTTTATCAGCTGCACAAACTTCAGAGTTGCACACACTTTCCTTTAACTTGTCCGATAACCCGGAGTGTACTGAGTGTCCACCATCCACTCATTTCTATACTTTTTCCTCCATAAATTCAGGCACGGATTGAAAATGGGGGAGACGACCACTTCCTCATCAACCCATTTGGACTTCTGTATAACGAGATCACCGCCTCCTCCCTGCACAAGGTTGATCTCACAGGCAGGATCATAGACCAGGGTACCTCAGAGTTTGGTGTCAACAAGGCAGGATTCGTCCTCCACTCAATAATCTACCAGGCCCGCTCAGACATCAACTTCATCATACATGTCCACACAGCAGCATCTGTGGCTGTAAGTAACTGCTGTCTGAGAAAACTGTCTCCAACTTCTCCCTACATTTTGTTGCAGACATACCATTCCTTCCTCTTCTTTAATCCTACCAGACCACTGGCCCAATTTTTCAGGAATTTCTTAACCTGACGCTATACCACTGGGCCTAATTTTCGGCTATTTGCGTCACAGACTAAAAGTAACTAGCCAATCGTAATCAGACCTGGTTGATAGTCTTCCTAGATGTCTGCCTGCATGTATCTGGATAAAATTAGTAGTTTTACGTGAAAAAATTCCTGAAATTTCACAATAAAACGAGCGGCTGATGAACCAAGCACTTCGACAGGAAAGGAAAGTAGGTCTAGGCTTTTCACAGTCCAACAGGTGATCGATAGTTTGCTTTATTTAGACTCTGCAGAGTCATAATTTCATGAAGAATACGTTCACAGTTGAAGCGACACATTCAGCTCGAATAATGAGGAGAATCTTGAAAATTATAAATCTAGAAATAGATCGGTAGTAAGAGAAGGGGGCGTGTCCCTCAAACAGCAACATCTGGTGCTCACTTTGTGAAACAATCTTGATCCTCCCGAGTGGATTGGCACACATAGGTGGAATACTGGCGCTAGATAAAAGATAATCCTATTTTCTACAATGTCTCCAAGTTTCATCTTATTCTAGCCACTTGTTTGCATGTAACGAAAATTAATGTTTTTGGTTTTTTGGCGTTAATGCCCAGGTGCTCAGGTATAGGGGACAGTTAGGTTCAGAGACTCAGGTCTGGTAGGGTTAAGTTTAGAGGATATAAACTCCAGTCGAAAATCCTGGTTGTTCGTCTGCTTCTGGAATTTGCCTTTTCCTCCCAGGACTTTAAAATATGGCTTATCTACATGCAGACTGTTGGTTGGACACCTTTCCTGCAGATTTCTTCTGACTTTGAAAGAAATGTTGATGGTACCTACGATGACCAGACACCAGTTAGGGAACCTGTTGCTGGGATGCCCATGGAAAGGTGGATACAGGCCTTGACGAGTAGAAGCCCTAGTCCCAGTACAGCACCTTGTTGGCTGAGATAGGGATTTTAACAATAAACCCGGATTCCAGGTTAAACCAGATTAAAATATGCACCAGGTAATGTCCTGGGAAGTAAAGGCAGCCAGAGTAAAGTTGACCATGTCAACTATCATATGCCAATTAGTCTGTAAAAATACAGGTCCAGCACTTTATGCATGATGTGAAAAAAAAAAGGCATGACAAGGGTACTCTAGTCACTGTTAAGTAAATGCCCAATATGCCTTAAGGCAGCGGTTCCCAAACATTTTCAAGTCGCAACCCCATTTCATTGAAGTACAGTGACTCACAACCCCCATAAATCAAAAATAGGCTTTTTAAAAGGATAAATGGCAAACACATCAAAAATAGATTTTCCTGCATTCTGCAAACAAATATCTTTGCGGGAAACAACAGCGATTTTTTTCTTAAATATTCATAGCACAGCACCAACAGCAACCTCAGAGAAAACCCACCATGACACCACTTGGGATCTCAACCTATACCTTGAGGCATAGTAAGGGGTCCATATCTATTACTGACCCTGAATAAGAAATTCTGTAGTAAACTAACTATAGACTATCTCCAAAACTTGCAGGTGTCTGCCCTAAAGTGTGGCCTGCTGCCTCTATGCCAGGAAGCCATCAGATGTGGGAATGTCAGTTACCACGACTACCAAGGCATGTACATCGAAGACAAAAGTGATTTAGTGACCAATTTGGGACCAGTAAACAAGGTAAGAGAATAATTTATTTTATATTATTTGTTTTTAAATTATATTTTTTCAAAAGACTATGAAACATAGTTCTGCTATAAGCCCTGTCACTGGTATTCAGATAAGGGATTTCTCAGTCTGTCATAAAACTAGTTTTATCATTCGGCTGTGAATAAGTAAACTCAAAAACAAACAAAAAACATTCCTTAAAATTATGAGATATGGTTTTACAGAAGAATGGTTTGAAATACTTCAGACAATGAACATGGGTTACCAATTTTGTAAATATTTAGTATTGGCCATGCATGGAAAAGGTCATAGGTAGGGGGGACGAAGGAAGGAGGAAAGTGGAAGCAGGATTGAGAGACAAAAGGAAAAAAAAAAGGTAGGAGGAAAGAGAAGGCAGAGACAGAAGAAAAGAAGAGTTGGAGATGTGAGGGCTGAAGAGGTGGGAGGACCTGAGTATTCTGTGAAAATGGTAAGAAAGAGGATTGAGAAAAAGAAGTCAGGAGAACAAGAAAATAGATGAAAGATGAGGAGATGGGAGAACGATACAAGTCAAAATAACTGGGAGTATCTGAATGAGATACAAGGAAAGAAATCCTAAAGCTGTCTGTCTGTCCGCATCTGTGAAATTAGTTATCCTTGCTACTCCCAGGTCCTGATTCTCAAGAACCAAGGTATCATCACCTGTGGCCAGACGGTGGAGGAGGCCTTTTTTCTGGCCTTCAATGCAGTGGCAGCGTGTGAGTCTCAGGTGAGTTTCTGTGAACTATACAGGAATCAGCTGTGGTCTCTGCTGATGGGTATAAATGGAATTGGAATCTCCCTGTTACAAAGTTTGTGCAACGATCAGAAAGGCAGAGAAGAGAATGAATGAACAAACTTTACTTTCAAAGGGTCAAAACTATCCACACAGGCCTCTCTAATATTCTGCCTCTCTAATATTCTGCCCATCTGAGAATGACAGAGAGTGTGTGTGACAGGGAGGGGGGAGGGGAATCAGACACATGAGAAAACAAACGAGGGAAAGAGAAGATGGAGAAGGACAAAAAGAGAGAGAGAGACCAGCGGGAAAAGAAGAGAGGTGTGACAGAGAGAGGAAGAAATGGACATAAAAAGGGAAAGAGAGAGCCCCCTATGTCCAGTCAGACAAGACACCTGTATGGCATAAGTAATTAAATCTATTAAAATCTAATGTACATATACACAGTGTGTCATCTCCATAATAAAGGCCGGCTACAGCACCCACTTCTGTCTTTGGAAATATGAGGCAAGGCCACAATCAACTCTCGAACCATAATTTGAAAACCACAAACATCTTATTTTTTAATGCAGACTGCAGCTGAATTAAACTCTAGTACTCGAGGATCATGAAATTGTTAACAAGGTTCATAGCCAAATTTACCAATCAATTTCGTGGGGAAAGGGGGGGGAGGGGGAATGACAAATGTGTTTATACTATAGAAGTACACATATATTTGATATGTGTGTGAGGGAGGGGGAGTGATGGACATTAAATGTTCTGCACTGGGCAAAACATAACCTTCTAGCCAAATGAAGAGGGAGAGAGGGGGAGGGTGAGGGAGAGCAGAAAATACAAAGAGAAAAAGCCAGTGACAGACAGGCAGAGAGTGAGGGACAGGTAGGACAAAATGTGAGGGGTCAGGCAGGGAGACAAAGATTAAGGCCTGCTAACAAAAATAACACACTAAAATACAAAATTGACATCAAAAGAAATATCCATAAGGTTCATGCTGAACACCCCCACCCCCCAACTATAACACAGCTTCCTGTGTACTTGACCTTTACTTGGAAAAGAGTTATGGAGCAGCACATTTAGTAAACATTTAAACAAGAAATAAAATTGGAAAAGGGGGCGGGGACAGGAAATGAGAGAGTAAAAGGATAGATAGAGACAAGAGAATAAGATGACGATCTGAGGAGAGGGAGAGAGATAATGCAGGAGACGGAAAAGAGGGAGCAAGAGGCAGAAGAGTGAAAGAGGAAAGGAGAGAATAAGGGGGTGGGGGTAAGAGAACAAACGAGGGAAACTGGGGAAATTATAATAATGATCGCTAAACACACTGTAAAAATAAATCGGGCCAAAAATAGAACTGGGAAATCCAGCTGATGTCACTTTGCTTAGCCACACTATCTCCCACTGTAATCTTTGTTTCTAGACACCATGGCCCTGAAGCTATTTATACTATTAATACTGCTGGACCCGCTAGAAACAAAGGCACAAAAAACGGCAGCTGATCCTTCCCGCCCCATGGCATGCCGCTGCTGTCTGCGTGTATCCCGGTGCTGCAACACAGCCTGCTCTTCCCTAGCCTTTAACAAGCCATTTCAGCTGAAAATGGCTGATAATGAACTGCCCTCATACCTGAAATGAAAGTAAAGTAACTAAAACTAGCCAAAAAAGCCTAACTGCCTTAAATCGCAGGAATTCCGACGATTTCGCCGCAGCAGTCAAAATTCCAGGTTTTTCAAGGTCAGTATTCTTTTCCAAGGTAAAAAAGTAGTAGCATGACTTCAATGAAGTGAACTGAGAGGGCTGGTTACTGACCCATCACTAAAGCATTAAGCCGCAAAAGGACACTTCCAGGTTCCCTTTTCCAACTTCCATAGCCAAACACAGTTAATGTTTTTTTTAAAGCCAAGTTGAGGTCAAAGTTTTCCAACAAGCCTCAGTGATAGAGGTCATGCCACGAGTCACCTGACACATTTTTTTAAAGGACCCAGAGAATGTATTCTATATACTTTTCTCAGTTGTTTTTATATATATATATATATATAGAAAAACAACTGAGAAAAGTATTTTTTTTACGAATTTAGTAGTGATCTGCGTAAAATTATTTTTGCTTTAAGTATTTTTCTCTGGAATTCCAATGGGATTATGGCCATTTTTTTGTGTTCCCAGGAGGGAAAGAGAGGGCTAATAGGAAATTCCAACACAAAAAAAAAACCTCAAATCTAAAAAAGACAGGTCTGAGTTTCTTGAGGGCCCATACTTCAATAGGAATGACAGGTAGGTGTAAGTGTGTATGGACCCATACTCAATTGGTTGGTGAAAGGAACTATGAGCCTGTTAAGGAAACAAGTAAACAACCCTCCGTATGCGCGTGGTGCATCAGCATATGATGCTAGACTCATACTGTTACAGATTAATTGGCACTTGATAGATGATGTGGTCAACATAAAACCAACCAGCTACCTTTATTTCCCAGATCTTTACCCTTGTTCCCATTTTAGACTGGGTCAACCAGTCATTTTTTTGGGGAATAAATCAGATGTGATGAGGATTTGAACCCATGACCATCTAGCTACTTCACCTAATGCGGCTTCCGAGTTTGCTAAGTGCCTATACTTTACTGGCAGATGAAAGGCACAAAAGACAAGAATATATTTTCCCCACTCTCTCATAAGGTTAACTCTCTCAACACCTATCAACTCACCATACACCATTTGATTACTCTCTAGATATAATTTGTTTCATCATGTCTTCCATCCCACACTCCTGTGACATTAACCCATACCATCCTAACTGTTATTTTAACCTTTTTCTGCCAAAAAGCTTTAACTCCAGCCACCAAACCTGTATAGTACCTCCTGTCACCAAGCTTTTTTATTTTTACCCTTTCCGTCATTATAGCTTTCATTTTAACCCATTACAGTTCAAGAAGCGTGAGCAGAAATGTTCTAATCTTTGGGATAGTGCAAGTTCAAGTATCGATTCCTTGGGACTGAAAAAGTAAACAAACAAAAACAAGCCCAAAAAAAAGCCTCTAGGCATATAGTGCTAACCCCACATTTTTAAAGGCCCATAAGGAGATTGTGTGTTTTGCCTTTCCTTCCCAGGACACTTCACTGTACCAAATGTTAACCCAATCAACCTGGGAGCCCAAGCTAGATTTAGAAGTCTACCACAGTAGAAATTAAAATCTTGACTACTAGGCCAGTAACACACCCTGCAAATGCTATCAATTTGTGCACCCTCCAAATGCTATCAGTCTGTTTTCTAACTGATTCTTTATTGTCCAGGTTTCTGTGATCTCATCAAATTATGTTTTACTCCTATCAGGGATACAGAACAGGCTACAACTACAAACTGCTGCCCATGGTCAAGTCCGGACTGCTGGAGTAATAACCATCTCACACACAGACTGACCAGATGCAAGTACCAACTAGATCTCACACACAGACTGACCAGATGCAAGTGCCCACTAGATCTCACACATAGATGGACCAGATGCAAGTACCAACTAGATCTCACACACAGATTGACCAGATGCAAGTACCGACTAGATCTCACACAGACTGACCAGATGCAAGTACCAACTAGATCTCACACATAGATGGACATCATGCAAACACTGACTTACAACTACCAACATGTGTTGCTCAAGTGAAGTTATCCAAAAATATTATGATAAAATAGTTGTCTACAAGTCCTGTCTGGCAAAAGTGCTGGTTTACTGACAAACTTAAGGTAATTGCTAATCAAATTCTGTCAAAACTGCCTATAACTTGATGGTTCTTGTCCTTAGCTTCAGACAACTAATGTTAACCCTTTGTGGGGAACTAAATCATTCAAAAGGGTATTTATATATAATTCAACAGAATTCATGTGAACAGTCGATCCAAAAATGATTACATCTATAATAAAGAATTTTTATGGAAATCTTGTACTTCACATATTAGCCAATCAGCTTGTCACAGGCATACTTATTCACATCAATTCACCCAATCAACTCATCAAATGTATACTTGATCACAGATCAACCAATCATCTTATCCTATGTATTTATGACTGCAGACTAACCAATCAATTCATCACAAATTAACCAATCAATTCTTCTCATACATAAATGACCACCAACTCAACAATCATCTGATACTTGCAGACTAGCCAGTCATTTGTAGGTGACATGTTCCCTACAGCTTTATATGTTGTCTAGTTTGTCCTCTAATCTCACTCCTCTCCTTTAGTTACATGAGTGCCTGCCAATACTTGTGCTTTTTCTATAATGATATTTCAATGACATAAGCCTTCTTTCAACAATGGAAACTGCAACCCACCCACAGAATCAAGCATGTGCAGTGCCCATCTTATTTAACTGTCCAAATTTATACTACAAACAAAAGCCATAATCTCTATGAAAAAAAGCCAAATACCTGCTATGTTTTTAATCCCTACTGCATAACTACTTGGCAATCACATGGCTTAAAACCATCCTAATTTTTTCTGAACATATGTACATTTTTACCACACCATGAATTGTCCAGGAAAACACAAATTTCAAATTTTTTCCACATAAATTTCCTCAATGTGTGCAAGAGATGTGAGAGTTTTATATCAATAATCCAGCGTGTAAGAAATAAGGACACTTCCTCTGGGAATAAAAGAACAATTAGCAGCCGTACACAACAGTGTTAAAACAAAATGAAAACCTGGGGTAGACCCGCAAAAAAAGTGTTGACGGAAAATGTAAACAGTCACAGCCATGGCAACAGTGTTAACAGAAACTGGCGGAAAAGAACAGAAATACATGAGAAACAGCTACTACAGTTCAATGTTAATGTAACTACCCTACCCCTATTTGACTTCAGGTTACTATCTAATAGTAGGGGATCCCAGTATAACCTTGCGGTTCAATGGGGTTTCTGGAATTTGTACCTGGGGCATCCTCATCCCAACAGTGGCACTTTACGTCACCGGATATGAATTGCTAAGTGTGTGGACCTAGTGGTGTTCATTTTCACTCATAGTCCAATGCTCTGAATGGATAGGTAATGTCTTAAGCTGTTTCTAAAACAATTAATAGCTACTGATGTGATGTGTTTTCATGTAAGCCTTCAGTGTGTTTTTACAGCTGAAAACTTCTGTCTTCTTCTCTACGGTGCTTGCTTGTGGAAATTTTTTGTGCCACAACACAAGTGAGAATTATGAGCTTCTATAAGTAAGAGATTGTGATTGTGCAGTGTGATATTTTTTAAAATATGCACTTAAATTTTCACAGCTGCAGTTGAGCAGTAGCTATAATGCTCGTCTGCTGACTCAGTATTATGTGTCCCCCCCCCCCCAACCCCCCCCCCGGTACTAATGCAAGCTCAAGTATGTACCATCATTATAGTGTAATCACCCTGAGCTTTGACTGGTTCTATAAACAATACAGGAGTGAGCACTGAAGGGCTGACAGATGGAGAGGATCTTGGACGGGCTGACAGAATGGCAAGGCACACAATCGGTGGACGTAATGATCAAAACAGAAGACATGTCTACGGGGGGGGGGGGGGGGGGGGGGGGGGGGACTAAACCACTTATTTTAAAAAAGACATAACTCATAAAAACCATACTGGTAGGGAAAGTCAAAGGCTAGAGAAGAAAGTAACAGGTAGACAGTCATAGAAGTGGGAGGATGACATCAAAAGATGGACAAATTCCAGTCTGAGAATTTAAGAGAGAGAGAGAGAATACTGGAGATCCAATCTTTCTTGTGGAGAGATGGCACCTCACTGAATGAAACTGCTGACTCCCCTAATAGAGCCACTAGAACCTGGAATCTGAAACATACAAGCTCAAAACATAGATCCCCAACAACTTTGCTTTAACTTGAGGTGTGAGGAATTGAACTGGTCACATAACTTCAGAAACTACAACCTAGTTTGTTTATATAAAATCTGAAGCACCTAACACTAGTGTGGAATGCAGTACCTTGATGTGTTAGCTTTTTTTTTTTCTTTTAACTGCTTATTTCAATCTCCAATTTACTATGTGCATTTTATTACATTTAACAATCACTGAATATATGACCCATTTTGTTATTTTTGTGTTCATTTTATTGTAGAATCATTTAATATGAGGCCTAATTTGTTACATTTTATTACGGTATAACACTAAATAACACACAGTTAAACGTGAAGAAGAGGAGATGCAGAAGAATGCAGGGAATCTCAGTGGAATACTGCTCAGTGTTATTACTAGAAAAAATATTAGTGGAACAAGTTTCATTCCTCACAGTCTCTGTGTGGGTTCCAGGGTCCCATTGGGTGTGTGTGTGTGTGTGTGTGTGTGCGGTGGGGGAGGGGGAAGAGGAGAACAAGACTAACGACCAGAAGTAAATGAACTAGAACTTTCTGCCGGGGTTTAAATAAAGAAGATTTCTGGCAGTGGTATAAGCGCACTGTTTTTAGTCACAAGATCTGTGGCGTTGCCCAATCTATGTGGAAAAGAATGGGGATAATACAGGTAGTCCCAAGGCAGAAGAGATAATTGAGGTGTGAAGTGTTTATTTCCTGTTCTATTGTCCTTCTCCAGGTTTCCTTAGGTCGTCCACATCTCCTTTTTCCCATTTGCTGTCCATCGGAGAGCTGATTTTGCCAGTGTCACAAGGCATTCTGCTTACATGTCCAAGCCATCTCCATCGTTTTACTTTGATAACATTTGCCAGTGATGCACATTCTGTTTTCCTCCTCAGTTCTTCATTTGTGATTTTGTTTGCCAAAATACTTGTAGAATTTTCTTTAAACATTTATTTTAAAAAGGCTCAAGTTTATGTGTAATTCTCACTGTCATTTTTTCAACATTCACTGTTGTATAAGTATTCCCAAAATCTTGCTTTTGTATATTCTAAGTTTTGTCTTCAAACTAAAACTCTGACTCCCATATATTGTTAAGCACGGCAAATGCTTGATTTGCTTTGTTTATTCTTGATGTTACATCCTTTTCAGACTTTATCTGGAGTCACTTTACTTCCGAGTTAATATAAATTGTTCAACTTCCTCTATTGGTTCATCATTTGAGATAATTAGATTTTCTGTTTTGTAATTATTTCTCATAACTTCAGTTTTACTGGTGTTTTTCTTTTAGTCCCATCTTGTTGTTGTTGAAAGTCTTTCAATCTATTCCTGAGCGTCAACACAGCAGCCGTCTGTGAAGTGTTACTACTTCACCTTCCTGTCGACTTTCCTTCCCAGAAAAATTCTGAAAATTATCTGGATCCATTTTAATTAACCCTGGGCCCTAAAAAAAAAAAAAAAAAACACAAAACCAACACTTCCAGTTGGTCCAATCTGCTGTAAATATTTTTTCTTTAACTTATCTAGAAGGCACATAGCTAATGCTGTGGCTGAGTTTGTGCCTGCAAAAATGTTTAAAGGCCGGGATATAAACATATTAGCTAAAAATATTACTTAGGGGTTGTTCCTGTGAACCGAACAGTTAAAAAAAAAAAGCCAAGTTGATGTCAAACTTTTCCTTAAGCCTCAGTGATAGAGGTCACGACATGCATCATGCGATAAACATCAGTTTCATACCCCGCGAAGCATATTCCATTTAATTCTTCACTCTGTTTTTGTTAACTGACATCTCCCTTTATATTTTATATATTTCAAGAAGAAAAAATGTAGATAAGTAAATACCAAATAATTACTGACCAGAGTAAAACATTTTTTATAGGATTTTTTGGGGGGGAGGGGGGAGGGGGGTGTTTGCCACAGGGTCACGGCCCATTTTTTGTAAGCCTTACCAGGGCAACAAACATGGTTAAGTTTAGTCAACCCTGCAGCTGTAACGATAGGGAAAAAATGTTACCCCTTAACATCAGTTGATGGCTGACAGTAAGGAAACATGCACAAATCCCAACATTCTTGCAACTCTCTTTATCTCACATCTGAACATACCTTTACTTGACAAGAAACCAGGCAGAGGGTCGGAGGTAAAAGCGGACCCATCCCAGTGCCACAGTGACCCATCATCGGAACACGTGAATAGGTGGTTGGGGTTGTGTGGATGGAACTTGACTTCCCACACTGCCAGACAAAGAATGAAAAACAGATTCAAAACAAAATACAAATATACTCTTGTGTCAGCCCCCACTTCAACCCTCAGCCTGTAGGACAATGGTGTCTCTCTTTGTCTGTGCTCTACCCTTTGACCTTTCTGGCTTGGCAGGCCCTGCCGGAGCTATGCTACCACCGATATAGCTCTCAGGGTCATTTAGAAACACAAGCTCCCCCATCACAGCAATTTCCCTTTTGCAGTGATACTTTTATACTGTACAGTAAAATTAAAGGATCCTTCTCCATATCTTCAGTCATATTGTGATAGACCTATATTTGATAGACAAATCGGCGGGTTATGTGGTCAACATCATCCTGCTGTCTTCACCTGATACACATTTGAGGCTGAATCAACCTCGGAGCCAAGGTTATTTTGGAAAAATCCATAATCTTGGGATCCGCAGGTGTGCATCTATTTGTGACACAATAGCAGCTCGCAAATAGTAAAGAAGCGGGAAAACATAAAATGTATCAAACAGGAATAGATAATGAAACGAAAAATTTGTCAAACAAAAACTAAAAGAAAAGATGTCAATTAAATCAGAATTTAACAGCAACAAATTAAACATTTAATCTGTCAATTAAATAAGAGAAGGAAAAAACCCCTAGTAAAACAAATTTAAATAAAGTCTTAGAAGAGGGGATAAACACAAATGTCAGAAACAAACTCACTTGGACCAGAATGTGCCTCCAGCAGAGTCATGGGGAACTTTTCCTGCCTCAAGTCCCAGATGGTCAGCATTCCGTCTCCTCCGCCAGTTGCTACAATATGTTCCTGGCCGGGATGTTTGTCGGCACACAACAAGGGTACATGGTTTTCTGTCCTGCGGTTTCAAGAATATTCCAATATTAACATCAGTACAAACCCCCCCCCCCCCCCCCCCCCCCCCCCCCCAAATTCTGAGCAAGGCACATAATGATGATCTCTAGAGGACCAATTCAACTTTCTACTTGCCACTGTCCAAGTTTCTGCTCAAAGCAGCATTGCTAAATATTACAAATATCATTCTGTGCCATTATAGGCCACACAGAGCTTGTAGTCTAGTCTTCCATTCAGTTGTTCCTTTCCTGTGTAATCCTTTTCATGTCATGCATGTAATCAAGACCACTATCTTTGGACTCTCTCCCCAGTGTTCATCTCTTGGGTGTCTTGGTTCCCCATTGCAGTACCTGTTAGGTGATTCTCTGGCCACTTCACCTCATTATGTGCCAAATATATATTTGTTGAAAATACTATAACAACATTGGACAATTCTCATTTTTACTTCACTGAGCAATAATACTTTCCCACATCGCATGACATCCACAGTAATGCAGTAATTTGTTCAGTGATAATTTTAATATTCTGATAAAATATTCTCTCACTGCCTTTATCTCCTTGTCCATAAATCATTTTAACTGTTACATGCTATATTCTTATACAACTGCTGGTACTTTTCCATCTTTCCAATGTTATACTGTGCCATAAGGAGACATGGGAAACACAGCCCATGGTGATGGTGAGTGTCACTAGCAAGGCCAGTTCACGTTAAGAAGAAGCCTCCACAATAAGCACACACAATTTCAGGACCATCATTGCCATACATGTATGTGACATCTTCTCAGATGATTAGCTCTTAACCTATCTGATACACGTATGTGACATCTTCTCAGATGATTAGCTCTTAACCTATCTGATACACGTATGTGACATCTTCTCAGATGCTTAGCTTTTAACCTATCTGCTATCGTTTCCCCATTTGCTAATCCCCCCCCCCCCCCCCAGATGCTTTGTGACCTGTGGCATCCTGTTCCCATGAATCTACCCGTGTCCAATAATGTGACTAATGCTGACAGCCTCTTTTTCATGTTTGCAATAAACTGTCTGCACTCTTACTTTCTTTATAACGGTTTCAGATTATTAATTTAGGCTGTCCACTGTATTTTCAGTGTACTTCAGTAGGGCCACAACTCAGTAACAACTTTATTTCTCACATTTGCTCACAACTTTCTCTCTTCGTCTCATGTTGTGGCCAAAACTGCTGAGGGCATCTTATCATGTTTGTGATGAGCTGTCTCTGTTTCTTAATCCCCCCTCACACACAAAAGTTCACCGTAATAACTGCACAGATGAGCCAAACACAGAATACTTACACAGAAAATATCTGTGCATGCTTGTTGGATGCTTGTCTCAAGTCAAAGGTCTTCAGCTGGCCGAACGAGTTGACTGCTAAAATCTCTGTCTGTTTCAGGAAGGTCAGGGCATTTATTGTACAGCTGTCTGCCTTCTCTGCAACAATAAAGGTAAAAATTTGAAGAAAAAAAAAAATACATATGCCCTCTAAAAAATTAAAAAAGGATGTGTTGAGCTGAAAAGTGCAGATTTTTCAACATAGTTGTAAACCAAAACATAATGTACCAACCACCATTATAAGGGTGGCAACAAATGGGGGAGGGGAGAACAATTATAAAATCAATAAACTATAACCTATGCAGTTTTGTTATGACTGCTGGAGCCAGGGAATAAAGGTTGTCTGCCAAAGCAGTCACCACCAAGTGCACAGGTCAGAATTTTTAATTCACCCCTGACAGACCCAAAAATCCAGCCCTGAAACAGATCCCACACCCCATGATGTGTGAAGAAAGCATCAAATTTTCCTAGCACCGGGCATCTCCCAAATGTAAAAACAATATGTATGTGGTATCAACAATGGAGGTTGGCTACAATGTGTCAACTGCTAACTACAGGAATAGTATGTGGCGAGACCTCAAGGCTTTCCAAGATGTGACTTTTGTATACTAGCCTGAAAGCCACGAGAGTGGCTTTTTTCTCACCGTCCTATAGAGAAACAGAATCCCGGTAAATAATGAGGACTGCACTATGGATCAAGTTCACTAACCTTTAGGCTACAGAGCTAAATTTCACTTTTCTAATAGCGCATCAAAGAAACTTTTATAAGAAAGTCATCTATTCAATCAGTCATTCTTTCCTTCTGTGTGTAGTGAGTTATGAGTTGGATTATCATCACATCACTCCGAACACATCCTTAGGTGCTCAGGTGCCGTTGTGCGGGTAAAAGTGCCAGTCCTATGTTGGTTAACAAGGATTCGTGTGCTTCTTATGCTTGGCTGAGCCGATCTTTACTCCTAATCCTTGTATTCAGTGATGTGGAAACGTTGCTCCCAAAATCCTCAAAACGTCCTATCTCTCTAAGGGCAATGACAATGTCTGCATGATTCATGAAACGGCCATCTTCAACTAACACAGCACCTGCCAGTCTATCAGCTCTTTCATTACCAACAACACCTGCATTTCCTGGGATGAATACGAAGGTAACTGCACCCACATGAGAGTTTTGCAATGACTCAAACCACTGTCTACAAAACCAGCTTGCCTCGACCCGCCGGATCATGCTAAAAAAAAGTCATTCAGCACACACACGCGGGAATAGTCCCGTGATTCTAGCCACATGAAAGCTTGTGTCAACACCATCACCATGCTGCTTGTAGTCATGAAGAAGGCACAGCTCGAAGAGCAAGTTGTCAAAGCCCATCCACTCTTATGTCCTCGTATAAGGGACCCGTCTGTGAAGATCACCACATCTGCCTTATCTGACTTGTCACTGATAAGTGTGCATACCTCGGCAATGACAGCAGCTGGATTCTGCTCCCGACAATTCTATCGAGCATCACGACACAGGAGAATGTGAGATTTGGCGCTTTAGATGCTGGTATCTATTCCTCACATGGGTGGATATCTGTAAGGCTGCAAACCTGCATGTCATCCACTGCCACGATTTGCCTCTTTTAAGCCTATAGTCCTGTTTCTTGAAGAACTTGTGGTGCAAAGCGTGCTTGAGATTTGAGCTTATCTTGAGGTGTGCTGAGCCCTCCAGATCTTGATCCTGTAGTTCATGGTAGGGAAGTTAAGAAGGTACCTCATTGCTACACAAAAGGTGTCTTCAGTGAAGAAAAATGCGCATTGCTTCATTGTGCACCTTCTTAAGTCTTTCAATCTGAGTATGGCTAGAGCATATTCGATGGGAGAAAGTACAAGTCTCTGCTCGGTGTTAGCAGCACCCATGACCCTCATTGCTGACAGGTCTTTGCGTGCTTTTGTTATGACATGGTCAACATGTTCTTTGAAGCACAGGCTGTGATCAAACCTCACTCCGATGCATGCCATCAAATTTGCTCTCCTCAACATTTCCTCGCTTGTTGTGTAGTTACTTCATCTGTTTATGTGATTTCGCCAAAATCACATCCTGATCTGTAGAAGCCTATCCAGTCAGATCTGATTCTTCTTTCCCTCCAGCAGTTAACTCATCAATGCATTGAGTGGGTGGGGGTGATTAAGGATCTTCTGTGTGCCCTTGTTAACATGTTTCTCACATTTCAACTTTTGGTCGTCTCTCTCTGTTAATTCTTTTCAATGATTTGCTTTCTATCTGATGCCTGGAAACTTCAGTAAATATTTATAGAAGCTGTATTTCTTGTGGTTGATTTTTGTGTAAGATACAGCCTATTCTAGATGGCTGCAGGAGGTAAATACAGCGGAACTTCAGGATATGACTCTAACCTGCTCCATGACTGAGCGCGCTTGGTGAATAACTCCTATCCTGAAACTATTTACCATTAAAATTAATGTGCATAATTTTAAATCATTCCAGCTTGAAATTTCTTTTTTTTTTAAATAACATTTTTGTTATTGTTGCTTTGTTTCACTAATGGGGGATGTGTGGCACTGCTTTTTTTTCCAGTAGCGGAAAATAGGATTATTTCTGAAAACCCAACATCATCAAGTGCTTTGCCGAATGGCATTAGTCCTTCTCTGCAAAGTTCAGGTGACCCAATCAATATAATAGTTATTGAGATTCTGTCGAGAAATGCCAGTTCTTGTCTTTCCAGTATGCATCCTGGATTTCACTTGTATTCTGGTTCTCTGATTTATCAGAGAGGAGAGATACAGAGGACAGCCTAAATTAAATATCAAAGACACAGAGGACAGCTTCAGGGAAATATAAGAGATGCAGATGTAAGACTTTGAGAAAGAGGAGTCAGATATCAGCCTACCTATAGTCTGCAATGGGTACTTCTGGCCAATGGCCACCACAACAATCTGGCCATCCTCGCCACCTGTGGCAATCCAATCATCTCCCCTTGTTGCCAGGCAAGTGCAAGGAGCATTGGCACCGGATGCAAAGTGGTGCAGGTTTTCCCATGAAAAAATTGTGCTCAAAGCCTGCTCAACAAGAAAATGAGGGACAAGTGTGAACAAATGACAAGCTTCAGTGCACACAGGTATTATTAAGAATATCTGCAGATAATAGTCAGCAAAGATATCAAATGACATCTTGTGCTCAAAACCTGGCAAATCAGCAGATTGACAAGAAAAGTTTATTAATTTAACATACTTCTGTTTGCTGTTAGAAGTGTAGCTGGCACACTATGCAGTAGTTTACAGCTAGGTTGTGATATTTGTACCTATTTGACACAGCACATCCAACTTCAGCCAGCATCTAATTATCCACCTTGTACGACATGCTTGTTAGAGTGTGGCAGGGGGTCTATTCTTTTACCCCGACAATCGGCGCCTGGAATCCTCACAAAGAATTTTAAAATACTATAGGTTTGTCTGCCAGTCCATTAGAGCGTGCACCGAAGTGAGTTTTGTAATCTGCATGGGTCCCCATGCCAATTCAGTCTAATTACAGTACCAGAAAACGTCCTGGGATGTAAAGGCAGCCAACTAGCATGATGCTGAGCACATCACACAAGTGCTGAAGGTCTTAAAAAATGAGAGTCAAGCAATATTTGTAAGACAGGGTCCAGGGGAAGACCACATTATTTTGTCATGTCACTGAGGAAGTAGAGTAGTGGTCTCTGGTCATGCCCTTAATCCACTATGTGCCATAAACAGGAATTTCAGCTAAAAGATTTTTTGGGTTCTGCAAAACTTAGTTGTCAGGTCTACCGGGTGTGACCTTATATAATTTTGCAGATCCTCCAGGAGATGTTCTGGGATCTGTTCAGCATGAAGACCCATTCCTAATTTATGTGTTGAGCAAGTACAGTAATTTTTCAAGAATAAGTTTATGGGGGCAAACAGAAAACAGATGTATGCTATTAAAAGAAAAGTAAACGCCCTTTAACATAAGATAGGGCATATGAGGCAAACAAAACCACCCCATATTTATACAAATCAACTGGTACCAGAAAATGATGGTCAATTTCATGCTGATCCACTGATCACTTTTAATTTTTAGAAAATTTTCTGGTACTAATTTATTTATGGCAGAGTGGCATGTTATAAAACGGTGCACTTCTATATTTACCATCTTCAGACTGAATAAGGTAACATTACATTGAGACAAAACAGTGTTTAAGTCAAGGGTCTTGACATAGTTTAACTTGCTATAATGTATTTTGGCTTCCAGGTGGACCAAGTCCAAAATGAGTATAAGGAAATATCCTGGAAGTAAAGGGGCCCATCATGATGATGACAACATCACCAATGGAGTGGTGATTGGCAATACAGGTCCAACAACACATGTTTGATAAGCCAATGGCATGAGAATGATCACTGATTTTACCTTATTTACAGATGCTCGACAGGTAAACTCCATGCAGCATGGCAAGAATCAGCTGAGAGATCCCAACTAGTTAACATCATATAGACATTTTCTCTAGAGCATTTACATCCTTTAGATATTTTTTCTAGGGTATTTAAGTGTGTAAGGAAATGAACAGGCAGGAGGGAATTAGAGAAGTGCACCCGGACAAATTGACTATCATGGTTTTCTTCGCATACACTGGCTGCAAATGCTGGCAGAAAGTTCTGGTTGTTCATCCACTTCTGAACTTTAGTCTTGCTCAAGAACATGAGTGTTGTGTGCACATCCATATCACAGACCTGGCTTATTTGTATGCAGGCTGTTGGTCACCTGCCTTTCAAGCAGAGGTGCTCCAACTGAAGGAAACCCTAATAAGCTGACTCTTACAAAATGGTTGTTTGCTCTTTGAGTCTACCTAGAAGCCCAATGAATGCATGATGCGCCGATTTTATTACTTTCTTTACTACTCCCTGGGCCTGTGATGCTAAACCCCCTGGGACTCATGGAGTTAAGGGTCTACTGTTGATTTCCAGCACATCACGGTCTTAAAAGAAAGGTCCAGCAGGCAGCGACTAGTGGATCGTATCAACACGCAGAGGGAAGAGACCAGGGACACACAGTCAGACTGCTACTAGCACCATCAGAATTGGAACTTTGCACTGGCTGCTGAAGATGGGGACGGAGTGCTGCATTAGTTTTTAACCTAACTAAACTTAGAAAGACAGTAACAGAGACAAATTTATAAACATTCATACAACTACTATATAGTATTATGAGTCATCACCTCTGTATTTGGGAGATGCTTCATCAGCGTCACATCTCCAGTCGATGACGCCACAGCCAGATAGTCCCGGGACACATACTGTAATCAAAAGAGGTTTCAATGTTACATGCTAGTCTTATGGTTAAATTGCACTGTAACCTGACTGTAAGAAAAAATATGAGGGGAGATTTATGGAGAGAAAAGATTCTTGATAGCATTTGATCATGGCAGGAAAGAAAATCAGTACATGAATGAAGACATGGTTTTGAAGACGGCAAGATTGCGCAACACCACAACTTTCACAGAGGCCTCTGGCCATCTCATAAGAAAAGCCAGTATTCAGTGAGAAAGAAAAAGAAATAATTGTTTTATAATTATTCCTTCCAGTTTAAGACAGCGACCTGAATATTAAAAAAATATTGCACTTTCCCTCGACTCAATGCTGTTTAGGTGCCAGTTTTTTCAGTATTCACTCTTCCAGAATAACAGTATAATTATTTTCTTGACACCTGATTCTCTGAGAAATGTTCCATAATATATCAGCTCAACAGCCAAAACCTGATTCTCGTTCAAATTCATATGCTGACATGTTCTAAATATTTTTACCTCCAAATGAAGAACATGTTTTTAAGACAGTGTTATAACGATTATCTAAATGCTTATTGTACAGTTTGTGTCATAATCATTCAAAAAAATATTTAAAATAATAATGTTACCCATTACACAACTGATTATAGGATCTACAAAATAGTAAAATCTACTCCAAGAAGTCAATGAACACTTTATTTTCCCAATTACAACCCTGAGGTTTGAACAGTATATTTGTATTTAAAAGTTACTAATTTTACTTCCACATGTTTGCTAGTTTTGTGTTTCTGTGATTAAAATAGTTCTAAAGAATGTTTTCCTGTAATGAATTTTAATAATGCCTACACAAACAATATACTGCACAATTTATTTTCAGGCAGTATCTTCTCAGGTGCATAACTACAGATTTACATCAACATATCATCAATCAGCAAGTCCTTTACAGAATATCGCTCTCTTCATGACAAGGCTGAAAGTATCCCTTTCCATACTCAGCTTTCCAGCCCCATGTGCTTTCAATGCTAATGCATCTTTAATGTCCTCTATCCATCTTCGCGGTGATCAACCCCTGCCTTGCCTTCCACAAACTGCACCCTTTATCAACATCTCTTCCAAGCCACCATGACGCTTGATGTGGCCAAAATACTACAATGCTGTTTGAGAGCCAACTCTCGATGTTCAAATTGTTTAGAATGTCGATGTTCTTCCTCTTCTTGATCCATTGCCATTAACATATAATAAAGCAAAAACAAACAAAACACATTTATAAATCCAAACAAAATGTGAATCTGTCGATGCATCGTGTTTGTCTAGTTACCATTTACTGTTAATCTATCAAATGAAAGACAAATTGTATGAGTTTAAAAATAAACCACATCTCACCTGCATGTCCAGGACATCCCCCACATGCGATTTCTCATGGACTTTTTGAGGTTCATGTTCCAAGGCTGACTCAGGACTGTCTTTCTGTATAGCGGCTATTCTGCCATGGATCTGCCACAAGCATACACTGTTTTGCTGTTGAAGACACAAATTTGAAAAAACCAGGTTATTTCAATATGACAAGCTAATGTGTCTTTGGAGGGATACTGCAGCACACGTGAAACATGAGTTGAGAACTTAGGTTCATGATGTTTAAATATACATGTACAAAGCAATAAGGCATATTCTGCATCATCTTAAATTAAAATATATTAAAAACATTGAGTTTAAACAAAACGACTAACATATTATTAATTAGTCAGCTGTTTTTTTTTTTAAATTGCCTTGCATTGCAGCATGTTGCCAGAACACCATTTTACAACAATAAAATGATTTTTTTTTTAATGGGATAGTATTAAATTAATAATTGTCCCTGTATTTCTAACGAGAAAATGTGTTTGGTATACTAATTACTTTACGTCTTTTTTGGCATTTTAATGTCTAAGTACGTATATTAAGTGACGTTCGTGGCTTAGGCTTTGCGAGTCTGACTCGTAATTCCAACGTACCGCAATCAAAACCCACTGCTAGCTGCGTATTTTTTATTTTTTCACGGTATGGGGCGTCACAGGTCAACCCAGCCTAAAATAGGTACCAGGATGGCTCTCCTGGGGAAGTAAAGACGGCCGGCGTAGTGCTGACCACATTACCCACCCAGTGCTGATTGGTCTGTAAAAATATTGGACGCTCTTCCTATATGCCCAATGCGCCTAAGGCATGCAAAGGGATCTTCACCTACGTATCTTATATACAATATACCACTGTATCTTAATTTTTTTTAAACTAACAACTGACATATTATTCAATAGTCAAACAAACTTTGAGTTATAGTTATATATATAGATAGATTGCAATTGCTTGTCTTAGCTCTGACAAAAACAATGACTTGACATGCATTGCTAAAATTTAAAAAAATCAGTCTATCCTCCGAATAACGGTCCGAAATTATCGAGGCCGAAAATATACCCTAACAGGGCCTCAGTCATATGTCAATTGCGGACTTCAGGAGACTACCGCCACCGCTACATGCGGCGTGGATTGGGGTTCTAAACTAGATGGCTGGGACTCACGCGAGCAAATAAAATGAAGGACGCTGCAGGACATGTCGTAACTGCTGCTCAGAGTCCCAGCCATCTAGTTTAGCCCCAATCCATGCAGCTCGTAGTGGCGTGGAAGATACTCTTCACAATTTAAGTCACCGGAAGTCCGAAACTGCCATGTGACTGAGGCCCTGTTAGGGTTAGGGTATAATTTCGGCCTTGATAATTTGGGACCGTTTTTCGATAACTGTAACTAGGTTTATTTGCACTACATAAAATGGCTCAGCACTGCTCGCCACCAAGCAAAGCTTTGCAAAAGGACTCTTGCAGTGCTGATGAGCGATTGAAATCGAGATACTGGATACTGTCACTGTCTCGACCGACGACGAAGCCGTCCACCGGCTAGCCAATTGACGGCTATCCTTTGAATCGTTCCCCAAAATGGCGGCGTTAATATGATGGCATTAGAAAGAGAGCTCAATTGGCCAATTTCTGGCCATAAAATATCCAAAAATATCCGAATGCGGGTCTGTTCCATTAAAAATATATGTGCCGGCTCCGGATAACGAAACAAATGCTCTGACAGGGTCTCGGCGATACGTTGCTTGCCGACCTGCTTCTGCGAGTGTGCCTCACCGCCGAGCGTATCCCCCGCGGCGCTACTCGCGGATGGGGCTAAACTAGATGGCTGGGACTCACGAGCAGCAGCTACCGCATCTCCCCTGCAACTTCCTCCAATTACTGTACTCGTGAGTCCCAGGCACCTAGTTTAGCCCCCATCTGCGCCGCTACCCGCGGCGCGGGGATACGCTCGGCGATGAGTTTAATCGCGTTTGGCGCATGCCAACAAGTCTGACATCTACCGCCGCTAAATCCTCCAATCGGAAGAACACAGTATTGCTAATCGTCTTTCATCGTCATGTCTCAAAATTGGTCAACGGTCGCTAATATCGTCTGCAGAAACGCTCGAAAATTGTTGTCAACGGTCGGTATTTATCGTCTGCTACTACTACCGTGTGCAAATGTTGACATTGATTGTCAAGTAATCCTAGTTTTGCCGCGATTTGTTCCTTGGCAGAAAGTCCGTATATGGCCAGAATGTGGCATGCCGCCATTTTGGGGAATGATTCAAAGTAGGAGCGCCAAATTGACGGACGACCCACTCGCCGATCGACGATGTGTCAAAAAAAGCAATTTTACCATTATGTTAATAACAACTGTAAAATTGTACGAAGACAATGAAATGAAAAGAATATTATAATAATTATAATAGATGAGTGAGGTTTTCACAATCATTCGTTGTCTATAAACTATTTAGTATTAAATTAAACTTGAAATTGAATGTTGAATGTTTGAATTTCGAACCGAACCCGGTAGTTTTAAAAAGAAAATTACTAGCCAACCCAACACCTGAGAACAAACTGTTTACCTGATCATCCCAACTTCCCGTAGCGAAAGTGGTTGAAGGTGGCGATTTCACGTCAGCTTTGGGCCGCCAACGAATTTTGTTAATTTTCTTGGAGACAAATTTAACACTAAAGTCTGTCATTCTCGCTGCAGATAATGTCCAATTCCAATAACGAAAGTGAGCCTTCTGCTAGACCGGAAACAGTACCGCAGTCGTAGAGATAGTCTTCGCTGTTTTTGTGTCTTCGTTAGGGATTTAATATTTAAACTTCTGTAATGAAATAAACAACAGATTTTCACCCCTTTATCTCACATGTCTCAATGTGCTAGGGCTATGCTTTACCTTTATTTTATTCATCAGCGGGCACTGTATTTGGGACGTGGTCAACTTCCCACCGGTCGCTTTTACTTCCCAGGCCCCCCCCCCACGTGTGGGTTCCGGAGCCCCATTGTTAGGAAAACAAGAATAGACCCACTGCCTCCCCAAAAGCATGTCGTAAGAGTCGACTAACTGGGGAGCTTCCTTTGAAGTCGAAGTGCATCTGCCGGAGAGGCAAGGAACAAACAGTCTGTATTCAAGAGAATGAGTTCTGTAAAACTGAATCACATGCAACACTCAGGTTCTGGAGCAGGACTGCAGCTCAGTAGTGGACGAGCAACCAGAACCTTCCGCCAGAGTGTACAGCTGGTGAACGCGAAAAAGAAGAAGAAGACTTCCCAGGACAACACTGAAACTTTTTGTTAGGCTGGATTTTTTTTTTTATTCGTCTAAATATGGATTTGAACCACTGACCTTCGGTTCGGTTGTCCAGCGTCTAGGCACTACATTACCATAACTTCCGGTTTCCTTCCTAGAGTCAACCAATAAGGTGCCGTCTCCGCAATGAAGCTACAATGAAGAAAAGAGTGTCTCAAAATGTATATCTGGTTTAGTCCGGGTTGAACGCTCTAGTACAATGTTTCTCAACTGTTTTACACCCTTGGCCCAACAAAACAAAAATATTGTTTCGCGGCTCACCTGACAGCTACACGAGTTACAAGAGATGGCCGACTGTTTTAACCAGAGCATTAAGACAGCATCAGTACCGCAAGACTGGGTGCACAGCTATCTAATTCCCCTACCAAAACCCTTTAAGGATTATACAAAGCTCAGTGTCTTTAGAATCATCGCCATACAAAACACATTTGGGAAGGTCTTGGAGAAGATAGTTGCTGTAAAGCTGCAAGAATTTTTGGAAAAGGGGAGGCTTCTCCCAAGAGGTCTGGACAGCTACAGGCCAGAAAAGGACACATGGGAAAATGCAGACACTTCTGCTTTTGAAGTTCTATGAAGGGTTCCAGAACAAACAGGAAACTATGGCGGTAGCACTGGATCTCAAGGATGCCTATAACAGAGTAAGATATAACATCTTGATGACTGCACTGAAGGAGAAGGAGGCCAGTCCATGGCTTCTTAATTGGGTTGCAGCGGTCCTGTTTCACGTCAGGTTGCTCTTCGACTGGGCTCACGGGAACCATGCTTTATCCCCAGGACTACCACAGGGATCCGTCATCTCGCCTCTGCTCTTCTAACGGGTATACGAGCAAGATTGCAAGCCTAGAAACACCAAGAGTTGGAAGGATACTGACTTTTGCAGATGAGATACTTGCACATAGGCAGGAGGAAGAGAGGGAACAAACAGGCAGGGAGCTACAAGCGACAGTAGACAAAATGACTGAGTTGGGTACAGAAATGAGGGCTGTCGTCCACCCGGAAAAGGCGCCTGTTTTGTGGTGTTCTTTAGACAACATGATCATTAAAGCTAATGTCCCAAGGCTCACTATAGATGATAGGAACGTCAACAGAGCGAGCTAGCTGAAGCATCTGGGAATTACATTTGACAGGAGTCTGTCCTTTAAGGACTATGTGGAGAGTGTTGTGACAAGATGCCAAAAAGAACAGTGCCCTTAAGACTATGGCTGCAATTGACGTAGAGCAGAGTATGCTTTTCACACCTGATCCTGTCAGTGGTTGATAATGGCATGGGACTGCCTACCGTCTCAAAGAGTCAGATGGACAATCTAGAGCGCTTACAGAACACGGCTATGCGGGTCCTTCTGGGTTGCACCAGAGACATCCCAGTGGTGTGTATGCGATACATCCTTGGTTTGCCGACTGTTGCAGGTAGGCACAAGGTGCTGCAGGCGAAGTAATATTTCAGGGTAGCTGCAAAGACCATCCTTTGCACGAAGCTCTAGGTGCAGTTAAGAGTCAGTCATAAAACACAATCAGACAGGTTTCGCATCCTTGAGAACATTAGGCGAGGAGAGGAGTGGGTCAAAGTGCCCCCCTGAACAGACATACTTGTGTAGGGTCATAATCACACTGAGCCGGGAATGCAGAGACTGGCCAGCAGGTGCCACGGAGGTAGAAATTCAGCAAATAATTCAAAACAATGCTCGCTCGGAGGATTTGATCATTTACACGGATGGTTCAGTGTCAAGAGGCAAAAGTTAATGATCGACGTTGGGTGCAGGAGAACCTAGCATATGATACCACAACATGCAGCTTAAGAATGGAGGTGGAGGCATTCACTACAGCTTTCCGCTGGTTAGAGAACACGACACACACACACACACACACACACACACACACACACATACACATCACGATTGTAACTGACTCAGAAAGCATGAAAAGGAATATCAGGACAAGCATGCTTTGTGCAGAGTGACATGCCTCGCTGCGGAGGACACGAATGAGAAGAATTGTTTTACCGGGGCACGCCGGTGTGTTAGGAAATGAACAGGCGGACAGACTGGCTGGCTCTGCACAACTTAGTGGAATACTGATGCATGATTAGGCAGATGTGGTTAGTGCCTTGTGGGAGAGTGTGTACAGTTCGGAGGAACAGATCAGAATGCTACTAGAACCATTAGTATTGGAACCCTTCGCTGGCTGCCGAAGATAGGGGCGGAGTGCTTATGGGAATGCCCCGAGTGCTGTGATGTCGGTTCTTGAGTAAAATCAAATCAAATCAGACTTGATTATGGGGATTCACTGCTGTGTTGGCGGCTAGACGTTCGACTGCGGATCGGAAGGTCGTGGGTTCGCTCCCTGAAGAACACGAAGAGTCCTGGGAAATAAAGGCGGCCGGCGTGCTGTTGACCACATTACACATCTTGTGGAGTTGGTAAAGAAATATAGGTCTAGCCTTATGTACCTTATATACCTAATACGCCTAAACGGCGTGGAAAAGGGTAATTGACTCCTTTACTTACAAACTTGATTGTAAGTTACGTAACTATAGGGTGCCCTAATATAACTGTCTTAGGCGGTTGAACGGAGTTGCTGGGATAATCCGGAAGAGAAAACTCCCTACCGCATCCATTACATGATTTCGCAATTATTTCCAGCGGTCCACCTGGACTGAAGCCGCCACTGGGCTGAGGCCCTTGGGTTAAAGAACATTGTTCTAGTAGACACATATTTGCCAGTCTGCTCATGTTCTTCTTATCCTCCCTGTTGTACGCTATATATCTTTTGCTCACCTACCTGTTATAATTATTGTCTTTCTTCCCTCTAATATCTCCAGGTCTACTGTTATAAAATGTTATCATTTCTTGCTTGGTCTTTGTTGAGAATCCACCCCCCCCCCCGGATATATTTGCCTCTTTTCTAATAATTTTCTGTTGTTTTACACACAAGCTTGTCTGGCTGGTTATGACTGGTCAATGGTCAATGCCTATGCTGGTGTTGCGTATGGCTCTGGTATCAGCTATGTTTACCTTCTATTTATCTTTGATTAATATATAGACTATGAAGATTATTTCCTCACTAAGATCATCAACAACAACAAAATCACAACCTGCACATTTCATAGCCACAGCACGTCCAAGTCCAAGTCCTTTTGAAAAAAAAAAAAAGAAAATCTCGACCACGTTCAGACTGCTGCTAGCTAGCCTAGGCTGCTAACAGTCTCCGCCTATATTTGTGGTCTGGTTTATTTTCGTCACTTTCGTGACTGAATACTGGTGTTTGTGCCATTTCTGGCTTAATGCTTCCATCCGAATCAAACCGCTCGTCCTGTTGTCACTGGTGCATGTCATCCTTCTTCATTCTTGGTGTTTCCTGTTTGTTCTGCCTCCCTTTGATCTGGCTAGGCGTATCTCGAAGGAGAGCGAGCTTCCAAACACAACGACCTTTCGGCCACCATTTATTGTTTTAAAATTTTGAGTATTTTAATTTTGCCAAAAAGGCCACAGCACTAACAATTCATCCTTAAATACCCAGGCTCACGCTCAACTCCACCAATCCAAAACCGCTGCAAAGTTGGCCAATGTAGGCAATACAGACGCTATTTTTTCGGTGCATTTAATTTAATCAAACGAAGAACAGGGCTAGTAAAAGAATTATTGCACACCATATAAAGCCAGTTTAACACGTGGCTATGAATCCTATTCAATTAATAAATAATAATAATAAAAAAAAAAAAATAACTTTTTTAGGTCTTCAAGATGTGGTTTAAAAGAAGAATCATTGATTCTTCTTAGGCAGCCAAAAAGGAAAAAAAAATTAATAAAAATGTAAACCACATGTTTTGAAAGAGGCGAGGGCTCGATTACATCATCATCATCAATCAGCAAGTCCTTTACAGAACGTCGCTTTCCTTACGGCATGCCTGAAAGTATCCCTTTCCATACCCAGCTCTCCGACCCTATACACTTTCAATGCCAATGCATCTTCATCGTCTTGTACCCCTGCCTTGCTTTCAACAAACTCTCCATCACCGTCTGTTTCCAAGCCACCATGACCTTTGATGTGGCCAACATTCTTCAACTCTCGGGACAGGACTCTTTTGATCCATGGTATTATGATAATGTTTCTGTTGTATTTAAATTTAAAAGTTACGATCTTTTTTTCAGTGATTGCCTGAGAGTCCAAGATCTCACAACATTAAGCTGCCACATGAAAAATGCATGATCTCAAGATTTTAATCTAATTTACAGTTTCTTTGTCATAGGTTCTTCATGCTGTTTAATCTCTGCATTGCTAATGCAAGTCTTCTTCTCACTTCTTTCGAGCAGTCTCCACCGTTGTTTACTAAAGAGACCAAGTATTAGAAATCTGTGACATTTTCTATTTCTTCATTTACTTGTCTC